AGACAGAGTGGAGGAGAGGATGGGATAGATTCTACAGAGCACCATTTAAAACCTTGCTGGTTGCAGGAAGATAATGACATTTTCTACTTCTGGTTGACATTAAAAGTTTCAGGCAAGAGATTTCAGGCCCAGGAGAAATTAAATTTAACTTCCACTATATAGACCTTTTAATCATCTTCAGGCTGAGAACTCAGCTATGACTTGAGGTTGTATATAAAATAGTAGCAACAACTGTGCCTGACCTGGAGACAAATAGCCCAATGTCTGACCCTAGGCTAGTGTCTCTCTCTCTCTCAGGGGCTCTCCAGTGTTCTCTTTTGGTATATGGAGATTGAATAAGGATCACTGGTGGTTAAACTCTGCTACACATGTAATCTAACACGGTAAAGCATAAAATGGGGTCATGCTGAGGGAGGGCTGAGGCCCCAGGCATGCAGCCTTCCCAGGTATTTATGGAGAATCTTGAAGCAGCTTTGAGGAACAGAGGGTTCCTCTTGACATGGTATTGTGGAAGACAAATGAAACCCTTCCCAAATTGAAATTCTACTTCTCTGCAAGGTTCTCACCTCAGTCTGGGGAAGCTCCAAATCCCTCCTCAGAAGAGGGAGTAACTAATGAGATGGCACCTCAATGGTGCCCAGGAACAAGGCTGCCAAGTTCAGGCCAAGAGGGTGATGGTCTGACTTCTGAAAAGTGGGGAGGTGAGGCAGGAGAGGGAGATGCTCAGGTCTAGATAAGTATTAGTTGACAAATGCACCTTTAGAGCCTCTCATTTTAAGAGACCTCTATTTTTTTTTTTCTTAGATTTTTTTCACCACTGTAAAGAATCAAGAAACTAGTACCTCTGACTTTCCTCATGGCCTTTGCTGAGGGCAGAAGTGAAAATAGCAGCGATACCCTGGAGCTAAGAAGTAGGGTTCCATCTAAGAAGTAACTTCCTGACCAATCTGGCTCTTGGGTACTAGAAAATACCACTGGGAGAGATTTTTCCTGAAAAACTCAGGCTTAATGTATTCAATACATATAGTTCCATCTCGCCTTTTTCCCCCTCTTTTTCTCTTACTCCCTCTCTTCTTTCCTTCCTTTCCTTTCCCTTTTTTCTTCCTTCCATCCTTCCTTCCTTCCTTCTGCTCATCCATTCTGGAGGCTGAACCAAGAGCTTCACACATGCTAAGCATGTGCTCTATTTTGTTTTGTTTAGATAAACATTACTTTATTTTCTAGAGGCTGTACAGGCTTTATAAGATCAAAATGATAAAATAATTAAGTAACCTGCCCAAGGGTATAAGGTAATTGAGAAGGGTGATAGGAAAGATTCAGGGGTATTAAAGTATGACCCCACCCACCAACATCTCTTGGGAAGACATTTCAAAGGAAAGATCGAGAAAAACAAACAAAAATCAACCACTTGGTTTTGACTTTAAAAAAAAATTCGGCTGAAACAATAGAGACAAAAGAACTGATTTGCAAAAATTGGGCATATATTAATTCAGAAGACCAAAGGCTAAAAGAAGCAAAACACTCTGACATGAAGAGTGAGTAAGTTAAACTCTGCCCTCACACACTCTCCACATCCGACTCCAGTACTGGTCAACTCTGGAGCTAGGAGCTGGCAAGATCAGGTAAAGGCAAGTGAATTCACAGGAAAACTTGTGCTCACCATAGTTCTTCCAATCTCTTACCCAATTCTGGGTCCTGGATTGGGAAGAGGATTTCCTGAAAACCAAGACAAGGGGAGAGGCCCTTTGGTAGTACAGACGACCTGTGTTTTGCTACCAATCTGAAAACCAGTTTAAGGCAAGACAGGAATGGCGGCAGGTATATCCATGAAGTAAAGTATAAAATGAGGTTATGCTGAGGGAGGGCTGAGGCCCCAGGTATGTCGCCTTCCCAGGTATTTATGGGGAATCTTGAAGCAGCTTTGAGACTCCAATCTTTCTTGAGGCCATGAAATCACAGAAGGGCATCCTCAAGCTTTCTGTGCCCTTGAAGGGAGCCATTAATAGGTGTGAAAGAGCTCGTAATCCAGAAGAGACTGACATAGCAGAAAGAGGACTCTCTGTGATCTTAATGGGCATGGTGTGCTGAGATCATGGCTAAAATCTCCAACATCTCTTACTGGACACTGGTGAGAATAAACACGGGTAGCCAACTAAACAAAAATGTCAAGAACTCCACAGAGGCAGGTAGATGCCAAAGAGTAACAGACACCATCCAGAAAGGTCTCCCACCAATGTCACAGCTCATAAACCTCCACCTCACCCCTACTTCCTGGAGCTCAGATAGAATTCTGAATTAACAGAATCTGCCTACAAGTAGCTCCATGAGTTTTTTCATGACCAGATGGAACTGAGGTTCAAAATAGAGGCAACATTGAAAACAAGAGCAAAAGCACAACTATTACCACGTTTTTGACTGACCTGCATTTGCGAATCTATGAAACATCTTTTCTGTAACAGGCTAGAAACAAGAGGGCTCCTGACACAGTCCAAAGCCAGGATGTGTCTCACAGAGGCAGAAACTGTCATGGACAGCCTGCCCACAGCTTTCAGCTTCTGGAAGGGCTACTGACAGGTAAGGGGATGGGGCTTCCTGCTCTGTGCTTCCTCCTGCCTCCCTCCGCCCCACAGCTGACGAATCAACAGAAAGCTGCCTTTTATGTCACTTCTGAGCTCTCGCTTTCTTCCAGCCCTTCTCTGTCATTCTGACTGCCACAACCGCAGCCCAGCCCTCACTGACTCTCATAAATAACTGTGAGAGCTATGTGGAAAGAAGGGTCAGATCAAAGGAAAAAGTTGGCCTTTCCTTGATCAAATTTGTCAAGTTAAAATATTACTAATTTAAAAATTTCATTTCCCATGATGACCCTGGGGATGGTCAATGCCCCCATCGCCATGATATATCCTCATCCTCCAGGGAAATTTGGATCAAATCCATGTGAAATAATTGAACATCATTATCCCCTATAGGGGATTCTGCTTTCCTCCATTAGGATACCATCGGACACTGTAATAAGATAACTATGGCCATGAAGTTTTACCTTCAACAGGTGCTTTCTGCTTCCCCTCATGCTTATGTGAAAATGCCGCTATAAATTGTAGCCCAGAAATCAGATTTTTAACGAAGAAGGACATTCTCAGAACCCAATGAAAAATAATTATATAGCACCCAAGCAACTGAGGAGGAGATGAAATCTTGGTTGTTTTGGAATAGTGCTGGTATGAGTTAACATTCACTTTTTTCTGATATGATGAAGTTCCTTCTTATTCTTCTGAACTGTCTTTTACTTTTAACTTTGTAATCTACACTTTTGCAAATGTCTTGAAACATTTTTAAACAGTAATCTTGCTCTCATGACCTTTCGGAAATCAGAATCAATGCTTTCCCTAAGTCTCTTTATGCTTAATGGCAATGTGCTTATTTACATAGGTTAAATAAGAATCCATTTTAATTTTTGCAAGTAAATTAGTTGCACAGAGAGAACATGGCAAGGTCATACCTGGTATGTCCTATTTAAGAGTATGTCTCATCTAGTCAGGTATGAGGACCAACAGTAAGAAACAAAGGTTGTTCTTCATTTGAGAAACTAAAAATCTCCCCCTGAAAATGGTCCATCTTAAATAGTTATGGCAAGAGAGGCAACCTTAGCAGATCTGCAGGTCCTTAAGAGTGAGGCCTTCACCCTCATCTATAGATAACTATAAGCAAAAAGCAGAGATGGCCTTTGTGGTTTATTCCCCAGCTTCAGAAGGAAGAGCACATAAAAGCAACAAACAAAATACCTGGAATAGTAGAAGTTACTGAATTTTCCTAAGAAGATTCTTGAGAAATTTCCAGATGGAAAAGTTAATTTTCTGAATACGTAGTTACTTACCACCTCACAGCTTTAGATTTTCTGACCAGATTACAAGGAGGTTTACGTCCATTAACTTTTCTTGCAGCAACCATGTAAGAATCAAAGCAATGAAACCAGCTTTTGGAAATCAAGAATAACCTTTGGAAATTAGTTGTGGTCCCAGTGCTTTATGATTGATATCATGTTTCACATCCTGAGTTCAACCTCCCAAAGACCCTTTACACACAATCTTCCTGAAGTTACCACAAACAAATTTAGACTTGAACCCTTTATCTATTTGCCATGGAAAAGACAGCTTGTAAAGAAGCAAAGGATGATCCCTCTCACCTGGTTCGGTCTCTTCCATCTCAAATGGTTTCTGTCTTTAGAACACGAGTGGACACTCACAGGTACACCCACTTACACACACAGTCACACATAGAACAGCCAGATATAGCTGAGAAAGTTCAGCTCCACAGAAGGCAAATTCAAGCTTCTTTCTTGGGTCTCATTAAGGAAAGCTTAGAAAAGGGCTGAGGCCTATGGGATGACATAACTTTCTCCATCATGAAAACATGCAAAGAAGTCCAACCTTTCTTGCTCCTCTCAGCCACAAAGGGTAAACAGCAGCCCCTGGGGAGGTATTCTCTTTCATCTGCCCCCTAGCTCTGTGCCGCACTCCAAGAAGAATATATTAATAATGAAATGCTTTATGGGAGAATATCTCCACTGTTATGACATCTCTGTGGTCTCTGTTTTGATATTTGGCCTTGAGAAGTTCAAAGGATTTGAGAGATTACAGTTCAAAAAAAGACTATAAGATAGACTCCAGGGCAGGCCCTGGTCTTAGACACTGAAATATCTGCCTCGCCCACATCATGCCCGATTTGACCTCCAAAGGAACCCAGTACATACCTTGATCTAACAGAATTATTTTCAGACTCTCAATTCTTCTTTTTCTCTTTAATGGCAGTTGAAGACAATTTGGTTTAGGGTTGCTGAACAGGCTGGAGGACCTACTTACCAAGTCAGCCCATTTCTCCAGCTTGGGCCCCAACAGCTCTGTTGAATGACAGGTTCCTGGTAGCGGGGACAAGCTGGACCGCACCAGCCTGCCCTGACTGCCCATATCCCCTGCAGGGAGTTCCCCAAGATCCCCACTCACCATTCTTTTCTGCCTTGTGTTTTGGTGGCTCAGGCTCCGGGAGACACGGACAAGGCCCATCACAGAGGCTGGTGAGGCTTTTGCTAGTAGAACAAGCATGGAACTCCAACTTGCACTACAGGAGAGAGAGACAGAGGAGGCCATGAAAATGCAGTCACCAGAAATGCCTGCTCAGCTCCCAGGAAAAGAGTCAGTGCCCTTTGTTTCAGGGGAGCAAGACAGAATGAAGTCATCTCAGTTAAAGGTCTGAATTACAGAATACTAAGTAAGAAAGGGACTTTCATGTTTTTTCCAAATGCACAGGATAACTTCTAAAACACCATGAAAGCACTGGAAGGTTTATTTTAATAAATGACAAACTGAACTGTCACTATTTATAAAATAAGATTATTAATATGAAACATTACACCTGCAGAGTCCCATATGGTCCAGGAAGCCCTCCCACCTCAGCACTGAAGGCATCTTCCCCACACTTCCTCCCACATATGGAAGGCTCTGCATGTAGAACACACCTCACAGCTTGATCACCCCTCTTGCTGGAGAGGAGTGACAGTCTCTTCTGTAAGTTTGGATATCTGAGGCTTGGCCCCTTCTTCTTGGGACCAATGTAAAATGAATATTTTTGCTTCCATTGCTTAAAACCTGAGTTTTGATTATTCATTGGCTGGAGGATGCCTATGGTTGTCTAACCAACCAGTAACTCAGTTAAATCAATCATTCTAGGATTCAATATTAGAATCCCATAAGCTGTATTCTCCTGCCACTCCCCCATCAGCAACAGTCATATTTTGCCTAGTTTCTTCCTGGCTCTTTACTTTTAGGTCTCAACAGACGCAGGAGAGAGGAATGGTATTTATACTTGCAACACATCCAACCAGGTGCCAGCATTTTTATTATTCACACATTATGGAAGAGGAAATTGAGACTCAGAGAAGTTGAATAACATGTGAAAGGTCATTACCTTCATTAAAAGTCATGTCTGACTGCAAGGCTAAGCCCTCAAGGGTCCCAGGACACTTCTCATCATGTGGCCATCTCAGAGCACAGACATTCCAAGTATAATATCTTGGGTGTGGCTAATTAGGCATCTTTGCTATTGGTCTAGATCTGAGCCATTGGAAAACCTGCTCTTTTTTGCCTGTAAAATTTCCTGGATCAAAGCCCAGTGTAATCAGTCCTCTGTAAAGTCCCACACCCAGCACCATGTGAGTATCTGGTGGAAGTTCAAAGGAAGAAGAGATAGGTGAAATTTACTGAGCACCCACCGTGCATGCAGCTCTTATCAAGTGCCATGGGGGATCTTTTAAAAGAAAGAAAAGAGGAGATACAGTCCTTGCCCTTGGAAAACACAAATGCATACCTTTGGGAAAAAAGAAAAGGCCACTAGCATCTGCAAAGCAACACACACGAGTGTAGATGAATACTGGCTCATTGTGAGAGGACTGGCTATTCAGTCAGCATACTGATTACAAACCCCGAAGAGAGTGTTTTAAACCTGTTTCTAATGCACTGGAGGCACTCTGCATAACTCCAACTGTCACCCATCCAGTCACTGGCTACCCTTGCAGGGAGAGAGTGACAGAGCAAGCCTACAGAGTCCTGGTTTTCTCTTGATGCAAAACCCCATTTCGTACATGCTTGTGAAGTGTCCAGAATGTACCCCATGGGGTAGCAGGACTATGGGGACTATATGAAAAGAAGCTAAGGCCCAAGCCTCTAACATCAACAGACTTAGTGATGAAGAAAAAAAGGAGCATGTCGTTCTAAAGCCATGTGGACATGACCATGAGGTGAGACAGAATGTCTGTAGGCACAGAGCACCGAAGAGGCCCATAGGTATGGGTATGCTACAGACAACCCACATGGATTACAGGTGAGTGGAGAGGAATTCCACAAGGTGACAGGTGAGCCACTAGTGTAAGAAGCTTCTTTTCAGACAGCACAGCATATGTGCCCACACCTGGGACTAGAGTGAGGACCACAGCAGTTGGCCCCTGTGTTAGCTCTCTGGAATAAACATTTGTCTCAGGCTAGTGGTTTTCAAACCATGTTCTCAATGGGATTTCTAATTTAGGGAGAAAATATGTTTTCGTGTATAAATTGATTTTATACGTTAAAATTATTACATTTATTTATCAGAAAGCCTTATCATACTCTTTACTGTAATTGCAGGCTTATATCTATGATAGATGGTAATGCGTTTCCCAAATCACCTCTGCACTCCTGGAAGAATCTACATTTCTGCTCATAGCTCTTTGTCTTTTAGTAGGGAACCTCCCTATTGGAGGCTTGATTTCTCCTTCCCAGGGTACCAGCTCTGACCATGTGACATGCTCTCCTGGGTGGATTGTCAACAGAAGTGATGAAGCCAAGTTTAAGCAGATACTTCAAGAACCACTGTCTAGTTTCATCACCTCACTTGCTCTTTTCCATGTAAGTGATGTGAGCCAAAAAATGATGTTGGCTCTTGCCTAAAACCCAGAAGTCAGAGGACATGGGACAGAGCTAAAGTGAACCCACAGCAATCATGCAACAGGGATAGGGAAATAAACTTCTGTCTTAAGCCAGTGATGATTGGGGATCATTTGTTACTGCAGCAGAACTGAGCAAAACCTAGGAAGTGGCTGACTTCCTGCTACATGATGAAATACACTGCATCAGGAAAAGCTTGTGCCACGGTCTTATCCCCAGCATGATATATTACACAGCTAGCTCTGGCACATAATAGATATTCAGTAAATAGCCTTTTAAATGATAAAGGCAAGAAGGAAGGGTGGCAGTATTCCTTCTGCTGCTCTAAATGCCATTTTGCCCACTAGGAGGCTCCCAACCTGCCTCCACAAGGAATGCAGGTGCTACAGATCTGACTTTGCCCTGCTCATCCTGCCCCATCCTTCTCCCACATCTACTCTAAGTCCTCTCTCTGAGCTCCACAGTCAGCTCTCTTGCTCTCAGTCTTCTTGTTCACCTCAGCCTATTGCTGGAGTCAGAGCCTAGTCTACCTACCTCCAGATTCCCAGACACCTATTCCTGAGGTGACCCTACCTTGACCAGGAGCCCTGTGACTTTAACTTCTCCATCACCTCCTTGGCTGGGCTGCAGCACCCTTTCCCCTGCTCAGCCCCTGACAGCAATCAGTGGATACATCTAGCCCTCTCCCTGACTGCCACCGAGAAAACAGTACTTATATGCACCAGCAAAATCCAAGTTTCAAGGGCACAGATCTGTTTTCTATCTTCTGGGACAATATGTGGCATTTAAATGAAGCTCAAAAGGCTATGATTCCATCTCTTTATAAAGTTCAAAACAGGCTATTTAGAGATTCAGACATATTGTTAAAAACTCCTCTCAAAGGGGGATGACAAATACCATCAAGGCAGGGGTCACTTCCCCAGGAAGGCAACAGGGTGAGGCAGATAGGAGCCCACAGGAAGCAGCACAAAAATGGGCATGTTTGGTTCGGGGACTTTTGCTTTATTGCCAGGCTTGACAACTGCTATAAATAATATAGATATTTTATGCCCCAAATACTTTACAATAAAATCTAAACAAAATACATAGACTTCTCTGGAGGTGAAAGCAAGCTAGAACCACATCTCTCCTGGGAAACTCATCACGACAAGTGACAGTGCATATGTGAGGGGCCTTCTGGGAACAGCGGAGAGTGCAAATCTCTGAACCTGAGTCCTGAATCATCACTGGGCAGAGGCCTCCGGCATCTCACAAATGTTTCCTTCCTCCAGCTCACGTCCCATCCTCTTAGTCACCTTCTCAGTCATTTACCATTCTCTTTTTTCTCCCAGGCACCTGCTCCTGCTAGAGCAGAACAGACACAGAAATCAAAAGTGTTCCCCATTCCAGCTTTATCCAAAGGGCTTCCTGCCAAGTGGTCCGTACAATGAGTGGGACCTTAACAGCAAATAGAGGCATCCAACTCCCTCTCCCATGCTGCATGTCATACATCCCCAGCTGGAGAGAATGCACAGACCTGGCTAGACCTTGCAAACATGTGCCCTGGTCTGCACACACACAGAAACCCAAAGCAGGTATGCTGCACTGTGAGTACAGGCCTGCCAAGACAACAGGAACCAAGAGGAAAAGAGGCAGCTGTGGTAGCTTTCCAATGCAGCAATCTCGTTCTCTGCTAGATACAGGTGCACAATCCAAGAGAGGCCGGGCTCCCATGGATCAAGACAGATACAGCTTCGAATGTGTATGATTTTTATTTGTCAATTGTCCAGCTCTCCATATAGCTGGAACAATTACAAATAGAGGCCTAAATATTCCTTCCTGGAAAAGAGATAGCTGGGAACAGAAAATAAGAGAATAGAAGGATTTTCCTAGGGAGAGGCAAAGAGGGAGAAATTAGCACCACCCAAGCCACAGGGACATCACTGGCTCCCTCCCGAGTTGAAGACCAAATGACAGGGATTCAGCACCTTCTCTCTTACACTGTGCTCAAAACAGGAGCTGAAACTGGTAAAATAAGGGATGATGATTGCTTTGCATAAGAACTTGCTCAGACAGCCTTTGTGTCCTGCCTCTACATCTACCCTGGGGTAGGGAGGCTCCAGGCACTGATGGCGAGCCACCCATCACACATGTACAGCCTGGAGTTTGAAAACCAAGAACCAGACTAAAAACAATGACCTTCTTGGGGGTAATAAGGATATATCCAGGAAGATAGATTGCCATCAGTGGCCACTGTTGCCCTCTGGGGAGGGTCTTTCCTCCAGCCCTGGCCAACACTAGCAGTGGAACTGAGGGGAGGAATGGCTCCTGCTCTGCAGCGAAGCCCCTGCTCACCCACCTGAAGGTGCAACTTGCCGCCTGTTAGGAGTTTGATGTGCATCCTTCACAAAAGACACCAGTGAGTTCCACCCAGTAGTAACTCGGAACAGGCCCTCATTTGACAATAAGGTCTTAACAGAGGTAACCAACCTAAAATGGGCTTGTTAGGGTAAGCCCTACTCCAATATTACTGGTGTCCTTGGGTACAGAAACAAATCCTCGAGTTAGGTTAGCACTAGCAAGGAGCAGTGGAATGCATGGCAAGGTCACAGGTTTAAGTTAGTTTTCTTTAAGTTGCTGCCAAAGCAGATAAATAAATCAGAT